GAATACTAGAGGCATCACACTCTGAAAGATGTAAATATAGGATCAGGTGATAGGTTAAATTCTGCTTGCTTCAGTCATGTAAATAGTCCCTCTACATTCACTTTTACTTTTCATAAATAGAAGCTGAGAAAAAGTTGGCTCGCAGGAATAGAGAGTGTGATTAGTGCAAATATATTACGATTGAGCTACATGCTGAGAATTAATGAATATAATGGAAAGAAATGCATTTAAAACTGACCTGAAATATCAAGTTTCTAATAAAATACCTCTCTTTACTCAGAATACATTTAAAAGGAAATTGCAATGAAGGCATTTGATGCACAGAATCTCACTACACAACTAATTTTTACAATTATGTAAATCCCTTCCTTATTTCTACTACTAGTTACCCTTTCTTGCTTTCTGGAGACAATGCTCCAGGACTGTTCCTTGAAACAAGTTAGTGTTACTACTTGATTTGGAGAATCCAGTTATTATCTACCCCCAGTGATGGACTGGTGCTCATCACTGCATGTGATGATGTACAGTTCCTGAAGTGGGGAAGGTGAAATGAGAAAACAAGTATGAGCATGAGCTCAAGAGAAGCTTCACTCAAAAGCAGCTGCCTCTCAGCATTCTTTCTCCTGCAAAGATACACAACTCTCGCTGAGTTGGGTCTGTAACAGGAGTTGGAAGCAGCTCTGTTTGGCAGAGACTCCTGCCGACTTCAGAGCTGTGAATCACTTGCCTTCTAAAGGCCAGATCTTGAGGAGGGACACAGCTGCAGCTGGCTTCCAGCTTTTGCTGAGATCTGAGCTCAGCAGGGGTGGGCTAATCCTTCCACTCAAGGAGGCAAGTTGATTTATCCTTGCATAGTGTAAGATTGCATTTCCTGGTATCACCAAACTGGTATCTGACAGCTGTGAAAGGTGGCAGCAGTTCCCATAAGGGGCTCCTGAATCAAACTGATATATTTAGATCCCTGCAGGGCCTCAGAAAGAACAATGGGAGTATATCTGTCCTTGTGCCCTCAGTGGCAGTAGAGTGTACCATCACATGTCCTCCAGTTTGGGCAATGTATTCTAATTTATGTGGAATTTCTAAGACTTAATCTTTCTTGTTTTGGCACCACCAAGAGCCAGCTTTGCTTACTGCTATAGAAAGTCACCAAACAGAAAGGACAGGGGTAATTAAATGCTTTCTGTGTCACCTTCCTTTTTAGTCCTTGCTTTTTAGAAATAACCATTAAATTGTTTGAACTGGCAATCCCCCCAGAAAAGCCATTATTCTGAAATTGGGTTCTGCTATTATAAATGTTAAATGAATACTATAGTCTGAGGTACTGTATCACTTTACCAGATTAATCTTACAAAAATTCAAACGCTGTGAACCGCAACTAGTCATTACTGTAGCTGTCAAAACTTTCAGGCAAGACATAAATAAACCTCAAATTATTATCTAAAAACACATCCTAAGATAGCATTAGTGAATAGTTCTACTATATTCACAACTGATTATGATTATATGGATTTAAAAAAAAAAGTAAAGGCAGGTGATCTGTGAAACACCTTCAAACTCCACTGAAATCATGAAAGTAGACATAGGGAAAAATCCTGAAGGGACTAGACTTTAAACAAGAAAACAATCAAAAAAAAATCTCACTGCAGATCTAGTGAGGAGTCTACAGTGGCTGTGATAGAATTACTTTAAAAGTATGCTTGATTGAGTGCACGCTAACTGGCCTTAATTTTATTAAATTCCATACGAACTGCAAACAGGAACATTCAGAACATTCGTCTCAAGAAAACATTAATTCACAAATCTAATCATTTAAATGTTGCTAATACACACTAGCAATAGTGGACGTAGAAGAAACATAAATTAAATATTTTTCCTATAATCTGCTATGACTTTCCATCCCTTGCTGTTGCCAAAATAAGTATTTCTTCCTGGCTTCTAAAATTCCAGCTTGCACCCCACGGCTCTGACTGCACAGTCATGGAATTTCAATTCAAATCTGTGCAGCCCATTTAAAGAGCCAGCATAAAATGATTAAGCTTCATTAGAAAAAGTTACTTAAAATAGTATTTTTTTTCCATTAAACCTTCCAGTAAGAGTAGGGGGAAGCTACCATAAAAACTCTTAATTTGCAACACTAGTTTGTAAGAGTATCTAGATTTTTAGGTACAAAATTTAAAACATACACCACTAATTATACAAGATTTTGGATTGCAATGGCTGCTAACTAAATATGTGCTTTTACTTGGTATGCAGCCTTTACATAGCAGTTTGACACAAAAATAATCACAAGCGGTCGTATTTCATAGAAAAATGCTACCTTGCAAAATATACACAAATTAAATTTAATACATGGAATTTCAGAACTGGCTAATGATTCCTAGCGCCTCAGCTTCTTGGGTGTCCAACTTCAAACACCCTGAAAAAGCTTTCACTTCCTCTCAGGGCCACATGAATAGCTTTCTTTTTTTTTTTTTTTAATTACCTTTCCCCCCTACAGCTTTTATTGTAGGGGAAACTTTTTGTCCTCCAATGAAAGTTTTCTGCTTACATAGCTAAATTTCCAGCCTACTTAGTATGTGCTCTGAGTTCTGGGAGATGGAACCTAAAAAGGGGGTGGGGTTTAAACAGAACATGCATTGAATTTTGCATTCCTATATCTCAAATTCTTACCTAAAAATCTCTTGTACAGCAGCCACTTAACCCTGAGGTTAACCTCAGGAGGAAACCTGAGGAGGTTTCCCTCTTTAACCTGAAACCTTTCTAGTCAACTTAAGGTCTGCAGCATGCGCATACATACCCGAAAACTGCACCAGCAAAAGGAGATAAGCGGCAAGCTCCTGCCTGACTAGTGACAGACACATCTGAAGGTTAAAGTTAAAAATAAAGTTCAGTGCAGCAGTGACTGAACAGCAAGGGGTACTACTGAATTATGCAGTTCTCAAACAGCTAGGATGGCCATAGCCAGTATGGATGGATGGTTAATGATTATTAGTGACCTAGGGAAAAAAAATTGGCAACATTTATTTCTATTTTTTTCCCCTCTCGTAAGTTTCTCCCATGATCCACGCATTCACAGGATGGTATCTACAAAGGTAACCAGTAGATTTCTCTGAAAGCAGTCAGATAGAGCAAAACATACTAAAACAAGTCAAGTCACTGTCTCATTAGATTTGAAAATCTGTAAGATGACTAGTGAAATTAATTTAAAAGAAAATCTAATTTAGTATAGTGAAGTTTATGAAGTTATTTAGCCCACTATATTAAAATCCTTCATGCTGATTTAACTCTTCAGCTCTTTAAATGGTTAAGAGCATGTAAAAATGCATATGTTTTTAAGAATTTATGTATTCTCACTCAGGAAGTTTCTAAACATTCATTTAATTCTTTTTAAGCACCAGCAATGTAACAGAAGTCCTCAAACGAGACACTTCCACTTGAATTTTAGTAGTATGGCTTTTTAACTGACAATTTCCATCTACTGAGGCTATAATTTTAAAATTATAATTTTAATCAAGTGGAATGGCAAGGGTCAGATTAGAAAATTATTGAAATTACAGTTTTAGAGTCTAGGTATATAAGTAACAAATTAAGGTAAATTCCTTCAGTGAGTAAAAGATTTAGAAAAAATATGAATATATGTAATAAAACTAAAGAAATCATGTAAAAGGTACAATGACTTATTCTATTCTTCTAGCAAGTCAAAGACAAATTCCCAGACTGGTTTCCTCAACCTAAACTGAAGCATTTAAAAGCTAGATGCCCAACTTTGATGTAGTTAACCTAGCTTCTGTTTATCTCACTGGAGATAAATGGATATCACGAGAGCACAGCTCATTGCATCCTAAACTAAGCACCTAGGATATGTCAGATTTATTGCCCCAGGAGATGCTGATTTGTCTCTGCTGGCCTGTCACCTGCTGCACAGGGAGCATAGGATGACTAGCTTAATTTGACATTTGAAATCAGCCAAAAGTAATCCCACTTTTAGCTTCATATCCTATCATTTAAGTCTATTTAACAATATTACCTAGCTTTTGATTCCTAAGGGTAAACAATACTGAAATTTAAAAAAAATTTTGGTAAAAGCAAACTCCTTCATTGTTCCTTGCACTACCCTCTTCTTTCTTTCTTTTTTTTAATTTACCAACTGAAAACAACGTAAAATGATCCTATAAGAAATGTCACCTCTGAGCCTCATGTTGAAAATGTATTAATACTGGATCCCTGGAACACTCACTGCAATGGACAGGTGCCCTTCAGTGCTCATTTGTCTCCTACTCCAGTGCTTGCAAGGAGCAGGGAAAGCATATAACATTTCACAGGATTTGTACTTCCTAACACCAGAAAAGCCTTCTACGAACCCATTCAGCCTTCTGTAAAAGCCTACATGCTGTGAAATTAATGCACCATGATTAATACCTAAACATCATTTTGAACAGAAGAGGACACAGTGAATTTTTGATGCAAGATTCTGAAATATAAACTCAGGGGTGCAAGCCATACAATCTGTATCTGTGTAAGTAAACCTAAAAAATTAATGGATCTAGCCTTAACAGTGAGAATTGGCAGGATCAGGCCCTAAAAGAAATACATAGACAGCACTATTCACAGATGTCTTATGTTAATATATGGCCTTTCACTTGTTATCTATGTGCAGACATTTTATGTATTTTTGGTCAAGTGTTCTTACTATTATTATACAATTTGCCAATTGTTTTAGAAGCGCGACAATAGTTCTAGACAACATATTTGTCTCCACCCATGAAGAACAACAGATAGTTGTACCTTTTAAAGTTTCCTAATAGAGCCCAAAGAACAACCTCTCAAAGGAAAACCAACTACAGAAAACTAAAATGAACACAAACAGAAAGATACTCTTTTAAAATATAAGTTTGAAGGATTGTGGAAAAAATAAATCTGGGAAAAATTATTTAGGGAATGAGGTAAATTCATTTATCTGCTTTGCCTATTGAATATTTAAATAATGAAAACATCCTTACCTTCAGGTAATTTTGCCATCATTTCAAAAGTTTGATGTGTGTTCTTCCGACAGATATCTACTGGATCATCCAATAGCTGAGCCAGGGCAGAAATTACACCATCTTTTATAAACCCGTGCCTACAAACAGCATTGGAGGAGGGATTTAACTAAGCACAACGTAACTAAAATATCTGCCAGATGCATAATCTTAAATACCGTTATTTACATTGCACCTATCTTGCCAAAACTTAGAAACTCTGTTGTTGTTTCTTGCTGAAATTTCTTTATTTGTCTCCATACCTTTCAGTAAACTCTGGAATTATACCTACCTACCAACATTATGCATGGCCATTATACAGAGGACTTCTGTCGATTTTTGCCGGACAGTACTGTCATGATCTAGCAGCAAAGTCTTTAGGTTATCCAAGAATCCTACAAAACACAATAGTTTATTTTAACATTTCTTAACTTCAGCAGTAGTTCAAAATAGCAATGATCATTTTTTATTTCACAATTCAAAACAAAAATAATTAGAGAGAATTTTTCACTTTGTCCTGACAGTCAAACTCTCATTGCTATACCTCAAGTAGGGAGGAAACTTGACCTACTGCCAAAAATGCCATGCCATCAATCCTCAAATATCTTAATATTAGCATAAAAGCTTATTGGTATAAGTACCCCACAGAACTAGCATTACTAATTGTCTGATTTGACGGCCAGAAAAAATAGTGGAAAGACTACATTGAACAAATTTTGTGTTGGCTCATACCACAGACAAGCTGCTGATTTCCGTATCAAGTAAAGTCTTAATTCTGCAAATACTTATGTAGCAACGTAACTCTAAAAATAAAGGTACACTGAGGTCTGGAGCTATTCCTGCTTTTAAAATACAAAAGTGCGTTTGCAGGATTGATGCCTACATTTTTGTAAACTTTCTTTAGGTGTAACAAGGGCTACGTAGAAGCATATAACCTTGATTTCCATAAGCAGTAATATATTTGGCAAATTTGGTAAACCATTAACGGTTACACGTGTAAACAGGAAGCACCCTTGAGCACACTGACAAAAAAAATAAAATTCTCATGTTACTTCAGCATTTACTGTTAACCAAATAACAACTCTACATTTCAGTGATGATTATTGCTACCTCCTATTTAAAAAAAAAAAAGGGGGGGGGAGAAGTAAAAGGAGACATATGTAGTGGCAAACCTGGGGACTTATTTAATGCTACATAATGAGCTATTTAGATACGCAACAAACTGAGTGCAAAAAAATGTTAAGATAAGCTTGTGTGGGGCTTTTCCAGACCCCAAACTTAGGGTGTCTTCTGAGTGTTGGGATAAAAACACTGAAAAATTGTGGTAGTTGGATACAATCTTGATGGGTAAGATAAATTCAGTTATATTGTCTTTTATCTTAATTTCTCAGGAAGTTCTACTGATTTTTTTTATATTCTCACTCTACAACCACTAAGACACTTCTAAGAAACAATTCTGCATAAAAAGTCCTGATGTTCCAGCCCTCCAGTGAAGTTATATCTGGATGTGTCACACTATCCACTGCCAAAGGAAAGGCAAAAGATGCCTTCATAGATTTTGCTGATGAATTTGTAAACTTGATTTATATATTTCATTAGTTTATTCATTATTAATTAAAAGGTTCTTCAGAGTATATTGTCTGATAGTGTAATGTGATCTGGGTGTCTGATATACTGGCTGGGACCTTTCCTTCAATGGAAAGCCCCATTGAGGTCAACTGCATTTTTGAGTACCCCCAAATATGAAAAATCCAGGGCTTTGAAGGATGGTACTACTGTCACATATGTATTAGAAGAATGTCTAATGAAGAAAATAAAAATATTGGCATTTTTGCCATTTTTCATGCTCTAGGATAACTGACATTTTTTTCCCCTTTCTAAAGAAAATATATTGTGTAGTTTTATGTTATTAGAATTAGTGAATTAGATAATTCACTTTTTTTTTCCCTGAAAGATATATTAATAATAGGGTTAGAGAAGATCCCAGATAAATAAGATTGGGGGTTTCTAACTTTGGACTAATTAGCTCTTTTTTTATTAGCATCTATTCAGATTTATCTAAAATTCAGAATACACGCAAGGAAAAAAAAACTATTCAGCACTACTTTTATATTTAGGGGATGACAATCCTGTAGTGAGTATACTCTTAAAATAATAGTCATGTATGTATTGTATATATATTGTATATATATTCTTTACCTTTTTTAGATAAAACAAGTAGAAAATAAAAGAAAAAACATCTTTGTGGCTATTTTGTCATCAAAGACAAAACAGGAGAAAAGAAATCAGGGCATAAAAGTACAGCTTTTTCCTCCACTGCGTTACAGTTTGCTATCAGACGTCACTTACCTAAGTGTATTGCCTGGTAGACATTTTCTGGGTCATGGACCAGATCGCAGAGGGCCATCAGCGCCCGCTGCCGCGTCAGCAGCTCAGGGGATTGTAACTCCTCGTTCAGCTTGGGAAGGGCCCTCTCCCCAAACGCAACAGGCGCTTTCGTGGGATCTATATCCGGGGGCAGCCCGGCTGAGATACGCGCCTGTGCCATCCCGATCTTCCCTGGGAAGGATTCTCTCCCTAAAAATACCCCAGAACGATTGTACCTGGTGACAGGACAGCTAATATACCAAAAAGGACAACTGCTGACTTTAAACTGAACAGTGCTCTGTGCCTCCAGAACAGCTATTTTAGGACACAGTACTTCTTAGGCAGCTGTAAAAGAAGAGGCTGGAAGGGTGCATGAACATCAACATTAATGCCTGTGCATCAGCTGAACTGTCTTATCTGGTTCAGGTTTCTACACTGCACATTCAAATTGCAATAATTTGAGACTGAGGTGGGGGGAAGGATGTTCTTTTCCAAAAGGTTAGAATTAATGTCCTAGGCCAGAGAAGGGGCTCAAAGTAACAATATTAAACCGACAGGAAACAAAAGCCAGCCTTCAAAAAGCATTCTTTTAAAAGCAGTCTAGTTTAAACGCAGGGTTCGTTAACGTTTGAAAGAAACGGTGATGCTCCACTCCTCTTCCCTCACGGCTCAGCTGACAGAAGCACGCACCTTCCACTTTTCAAAACTACTCAACCAAAATTGCAACTACGAAAGTTAAAACTATAAAACAGCAGCCCTTCCCTCTCAAACACAGCCCGAACAGACTAAAGACAGGCGCCCCCTCCCACCGACATGCCGCCGCCGCCGCCCCCGCTTCCCGCTCCACAGCCCCCTCCACCTCGGCCGACGACTGGC